TATTTCTACCTCTATGTAGACCTTGTGGAAATTGTAAACACACACTCCCCCAGTCAAGGGCGGTCGGGGGGGGGGGAGGGGGGAAGGAGCGGCAGCATTTGTCAGCAAATTAATTGGTGACGTCAGTAACAAAAGCAAAGGGGAATGTAAGGGGTGCATGCCACGGCTCCACACCTCGCGGGCGAACAAAAGCTAGGTCGACATACAAGCTATAACACCCCCATCAAAGCTATAACACCCCCATCAAAGCTATAACACCCCCATTAAAGCTATAACACCCCCATCAATCCTTTTCACCGATGTGCCTACCGTGAGCTCAGGCCCTGTTCAAATCTTATTTTACTCATTAACACCTGTTGAGAAAAGTTGGATATGTTAAGTGTAAACCTAGTGAAACTACACTACTGTGTTTTGATACGGGTGGCCAATAATATCTTCTTTCTAAAATCGGAAACTGGTTCAAAATGTTTAACTATTGGAATACAAACATTAAAAAAACTTAGAGCTGATTTAAAAATATATTTGTTGAGTGATGTTTATAATATATTTAAGTTTAAAAGCATGACCTCATTTCTTTACCATAACTGTAGAGTTTCTTAATAAACAAATGACAACTATGAGGGGGACAATGGTCCGATAGCCACACTGTAGTATTGGACGTGCCCCGGGGGCCTCGAGTTTCACATTCCTTGTGATGCATATTCCTGTAAACAACACAGACTTGGAAGTTATATCTAAGAACGGGATCTGCCCTAGTCCTAGCGTTAGGGCCGCAGGCAGGGCCATGTTTTAAAAGTATGAGATTATATGTGCTTCTTGGGAGTGAATATATTATCACAGGGATGTAAAGAATTCATCTTTATTGTACCTATTGGGTCTGGCTAGGGCTGGCGATTCAAAGGCTTGCTGTTAACAATGAATCTTTCCTGGAGATGTTTGAACTATTTACCTTTTTTTAAAAAAAAAATAACTGGTCTTTCGTGTCCATCTCTGATGCCACTTTGTCCATATGTGACAACACTGTGTCCATATCTACAAACACTGTGTCCATATCTACAAACACTGTGTCCATATCTGACAACATTGTGTCCATATCTCTAAACACTGTGTCCATATCTGGAAACACTGTGTCCATATCTGACAACAATGTGTCCATATCTGCAAACACTGTGTCCATATCTGCAAACACAGAGTCCATATCTGCAAACACTGTATCCATATCTGACAACACTGTGTCCATATCTGACAACACTGTGTCCATATCTGCAAACATTGTGTCGATATCTGCAAACACTGTGTCCATATCTGCAAACACTGTGTCCATATCTGACAACACTGTGTCCATATCTGACATACATGTATCATATAGGAAAACCTAGGACTTACCTTTAAATATTTCGTCGAATTCTTGGATTTTTAAAATATTTTTTTTTGGAGGGGGAGAGGGGTGTCACTTTTTGGTATTCCAAAATCAGGTCTAATTAGGTTAAACTTGTGAGGCTTATCAACTAGTCACTTATTATATGGGTTTATAGACCTGGGTTTATTTAAGACCTGGGTTTATTATAGATCTGAGTCTGAGATGAGACCATGTGTGTTTGAGATGAGACCGTGAGTTTTTCAGATGTGACCATGAGTTTCGGTAGCGGACGAAAGATAAAACAGTGAATATAGTGATTTTAACCTGGGAATGGGCACACATGGGATGGAAGATCTTGGTAGAAGATCTTGTTGGGTGATATATGGGTGGGAGATTTAGGTTGGGGAGATAAGGGTGTGGGCAGATCTGTGTGGGGGTTAATTGTGTGTAGATTTAGGTGAGGGATATCTGGTTGAGGAGATCTTGTGAGGGATATCTGGTTGAGGAGATATTGTGAAGGATATCTGGTTGAGGACATCTTGTGTTGGGAGTACTGCCGGGCGAGTGAGTCAGCTGATCAATACGGCTGTGAAATTAAACCATCAATTCGTGCAAAGTTCAATTAGTGGGGGATGTGTCCATTTTAAGACCGACTGTGACTGCCAGGTGTAGCCAGTTAGAAAGATCAATGCTGCCTGGCGTTGGTATTTTTAAAAAAATCTCCCGCGCTACAAAGTCTGGTGACCATGGTGACCATTCATGCCATTGACCGTTGTATTATAAATAACCGTGCATACAATAACCGTTCATTGGACTGGGGACTGCTGTGAGACCTCTTGAATCTGACAGATACAACTTTCATTGGACTAGAACTGCTGTGAGACCTCTTGAATCTGACAGATACAACAATCATTGGACTAGAACTGCTGTGAGACCTCTTGAATCTGACAGATACAACTTTCATTGGACTAGAACTGCTGTGAGACCTCTTGAATCTGACAGATACAACTTTCATTGGACTAGAACTGCTGTGAGACCTCTTGAATCTGACAGATACAACTTTCATTGGACTAGAACTGCTGTGAGACCTCTTGAATCTGACAGATACAACTTTCATTGGACTAGAACTGCTGTGAGACCTCTTGAATCTGACAGATACAACTTTCATTGGACTAGAACTGCTGTGAGACCTCTTGAATCTGACAGATACAACTTTCATTGGACTGGGGACTGCTGTGAGACCTCTTGAATCTGACAGATACATTTTCATTGGACTAGGGACTGCTGTGAGACCTCTTGAATCTGACAGAGGAGGATCATCCAAACAATAAGACCACGAATCATGAACAAAATTGTAGCTAGGATAGTTTAAATTCTACACTATAATATTAACAGAAGAGCTAGCCACCGCCGTTTACGCTTGGACATTTTGTCTGCCGCTAGTTCAATAAACTGATAAAATGATGTTTACCCATATCACGTAATTGAAAATATTGAAAATTGATTTGAACTCTGCGCGTGCAAAGAGGCTTGTATCACATTTCCTTGATTTCCCCTCCCCAGGTGTTCTTGCCGATGAGACGAGAACCGCCTTGATAGCCACAGGATGTATAGCCGGGGGTCTCTTGCTGATAGCCGTCATCATAGCCATTGTCGTCTTCACCCTCAGGTAAGGTCGTGAGATTTTAAGAATACCTTAGGTGTCGATCTTCAGAACATTGGAAATGGAACCTTTCAGAAAACTGGAAATGAAACCTTTCAGAAAATTGGAAATGAAACCGTTCAGAACATTGGAAATTAAACCTTTCAGAACATAGGAAATGAAATCCTTCTGAAACATGGTAAATGATACCTTTCAGGACCTGGTAAAAATTCCCTTTCAGAACATGGGAAACAGCGTCTTGCTTGATCTGAAACTTTGCCCCTCTCCGAAACTATGAAATAGTGTCATATAAACCGGGATTATTGCCCCTTTCAGAAACAATGAAATAGTGACATACAGAACCGGGAACATAGCCCCCATTCAGAAACAATGAAATAGTGCCCCATAGAACCGGGAACATTGCCCCATTCAGAACCTGGAAAAATTGTCCCTTACAAAACATGGGACTTTTCCTCGTTAATACCCAACCCTTATGTTAACCATCGAAAAATGAGTAATTTGCGTAAATAGTACAATAACAACATATATATTTAAACCTATTTAGATATAGATTCTATGTTTAAAAAAAAAGATATTTATTGTTATTATAAAAATGTGTTTGTTAATATTATAAAAGTGTATTTGTAAAATATTATAAATATGTATTGTTAAAACTATATCAAAGTGTAGATCTCCAAGCTTTTCTGCTAATCTCTTTAAACCATCAATTCGAAATGTTAAAATAATAATAATAATAATAATAATTATTTAAGAAATAGTTTTTAAAATAACCCAAAAGTTTCAAGTATCTTGTTTCCCAAAAATGTAACATCAACTTTAACGCACCCTGTCTCATCTTAGCACAGTGGTTCTCAACCTCTCTAATGCCGCAACCCTTTAACACAGTGCCTCATGTTGTGGCCACCCTTAACCACACATTTTTTATCGTTGCTGCTTCATAACTGTTGGGTATACGTTTTTTACCCATGGTCTTAGGCGACCCCTCTTAAAGGGTCATTCGATCCCAAAGGGGTCTCGACCCACAGGTTGAGAACCGCTGTCTTAGCAGGTAAATTAAAGAGGAAAAAAGACAAGCATCCACCTACATTTAACTGACATCAGCACACCATTGAAGTCCTCATTCGCCATTGTAGATTCGAACTCTCCATCGGGTGCTTTGGGTTACTCCCTGACTTAATTTTCGGAATTACAAGAAGACAAAGAGGAGGCGATATCATTTTTATTCCGATGAAAATCTTTCAGGTCACATGACTGTCATATATTGCCAATAAAAAAAAAAATTACCTACATATTTACCTTTAACAGGCACATACGGAACAGCGAGAAGAAGCCCCTGTCGTCCATGAATGGCGAGGTGTTGCCGCAGGGAGTCTACCGGGGACCCGAGCCCTACACCACGACCCTCCCTAGACAGCACGCCAACGGGGGGCCCAAGACCAAGTCCTACACGCACCACGCGGCGTCCCCGCGCTCGAGGCAGCCGCTCACGTTCTACACGATACGCGCCGAGCCGAGGGCGGGCGTGGATCCACCGGGGCTCATCCCCATGGGCCCCACCCAGTCTTACAGAGGACCGCCGCCCGTGGGGAGGCCCGTGATATTTTTAGACTGGAACGGCGCACCTAAAGGTAATATAATCGGTGTGCAGTATTTGAAACAATGCAAACAAATGAAAGCAGTGTTCACCAAGCTAATGCATTACACATTCAAAAGAGGTTTTTTTTTGGTTTTTTTTTGGTGGTAGGAATCGATAGTAAGGTGAAGGTGGGTCGGATCCGCAGGTGGATGAAAGTTTGAGTGGGTGGGAGGTATGTTGCGAGAGATGTGAGCTGGCAGGATGGGTGACAAGATGGGCGTGTAGAGCAGATACGTCTTCACGGACTGTCCAGCCGGACTGATCTAGATATATGGGTACAGATGAAATGAGCTTAATTTGTCCATGTGTATGGGTGAGTCCAGACATGAGAAGACAGAAACAAACATGAGATTGACCACAAACGAAAAAAAACAACAACATGAGATGGACAGAAACAAACATGAAATTGACATAAACAAATATGAGACGGACAGAAACAAACATGAAATTTATATAAACAAACATGAGATTGACATATACAAACATAAGATGGACAGAAACAAACATAAGATTGACATAAACAAACATGAGATAGACTGAAACAAAGAACTTTACAGAACTATGCCAATGTACTACATTTTAGGACCCCAAGGAGAATTTATGTACCCTAATGGAGGAACAATGCTTTACTACGGTTTGTGAGATTTAAGCTGTCTGCAGATTGCAACACCATGTGTCTAGTTCTCTGTAACTGTAACACCATGTGTCTAGTTCTCTATAACTGTAACACCATGTGTCTAGTTCTCTGTAACTCTAAAACCACGTGTCTAGTTCTCTGTAACTCTAAAACCACGTGTCTAGTTCTCTGTAACTCTAAAACCATGTGTCTAGTTCTCTAGTTCTGTAAAAATAAACTTCTAACGGTGTGCTTGCCCTGAGATACAGGTGCCGAACTGTGTCTTTATTTGATTTTTCTTTTAGCATTCTTTAAATTTTTTAATTTTTTTTTTTTTTTTTTCTTTTGTCACACGCTTTTGTTTATTTTCACCAGCACTTTTGACACGTTGTCATTTTGTTTTGTGCTTCGTACACACTTTAGACACGGTGTCATTTAGTTTTGTGCTTCGTACACACTTTTAACACGGTGTCTTTTTTAAAAGTCCTAAATTAACCTAAATTAAAAATTCTTTAAGCCAAACATGATTTGGATTTTTTTTTTTTTTTTTTTTTNTTTTTTTTTTTTTTTTTTTTTTTTTTTTTTTTTTTTTTTTTTTTATTTTTTTTTTTTTTTTTTTTTTTTTTTTTTTTTTTTTTTTTTTTTTTTTTTTTGAAATGGTTGGGAGGTGCTAAATTATCCAGTGGCGGGTGTCTTTTATTTACTGGCCAATTTTTAGTCAATGAGCTTCGAGGCTTGGTGATGAGCTACGCCGGTTTAGCGGACTGTTCATTTCATCGTCACAATGATTAAACCCCGTTTTGTTGTCGTTTACGCCAGATGTGTACGTCATCTTCCAACGTTTTTTTTCTCCCCACTGATCCTGTTGAATTCAGTTTAAAGGCTTAACAATTATCTGCTCTGCTGAATTTGTGTGTGACTTTCCAAGTGAACGTTAGACATTGTCTTTAATTTCTGTGTGATGTATCAGCGGCGGATCCAGAAGAAAAGAACAGGGTGCACACAAATATTAGCCTTTCCTAAAAATTAAAAAAAAAATTTTTTTTAAAAAGAGAAAAGAGAACCTAAATAGTTTCAGATTCCTCAAAATAATTCCACTGCCAATTTTTGAGGACACACTCCTTCTTCAAACACCGAATCCGCCTCTGAAAAATCTCACGTCCATAGCTAGACTAATGTTATGCACGGACATAAATGATTGTTACTTTCATTTGTATAAACTTGTCAAATACACTTTAGGACATGAGCATAGGCGTATTTTTCATAATCTCGCCAAATTTTTAACGTCATATTTTAGGTTCTTCGTTAAAGAACAAAGTTTTTCTAAGAACAATCTTTCAATTCATTTCTTTATCAGAAATGTTGATCAAAAATAGAACGAGTTTACCATGTAGCTGATTTGAAAGTTTAGAAAAAAAATATATATTTATTAAAAAAAAAATTAAATTATTAAAACATAAAGAATGTACAAATTTAAAATCCGTTGGTAAAAAAAAAAAAAAGTAAAAAGTACACCATTAATGTTTCAAATTAATTATTCGCAATTTTGATCTATTGTTACCATTTTCTTCTTCAAGCCAATGGAGGTGTTCCACTAATGTGAGTAAACATTGTTTAGTTTGGTGGCAATATGGGGGAATGGATGGATGCTTTTAAGTTTGAACAAAACACACACACACTTATCTGTTCATAATTACCTCTCCTTTTTACCTTTTATTCCGCATCTCTCTCTCTCTCTTACTCTTTTACTCACTATATCTCTCACTCTATCTCTCACTCTATCTCTCACTCTCTCTCCCCCATGTCTCTCTTCCCCCCTCTCTCTCTCTCCCTCTCTCTCTCTCTCTCTATCTTTTAGATCTGCAGACCCCACGTCTGCACTCCAGCCACCACNGATCTCTCCCCTTTCTCCCCTCTTTCTTTCTCTCCCCTCCCTCTCTTTACACTAGATCTCTCTCTCTCTCTCTCCACACCTCCCTCACCTATCTACAACCCCCTCTATGCCCCCCCCCCTCTGTATGTGTCTAAATGTAAATATACCAGCCGTTAACAATTTGAATCAATCAATCGTGGGTTGTACAAAGGTAGGCAACCCTTCATTTGTTAATACGATTGCGAACATATAAGTCTGTCTTTATTAGTTCCCTTACCAAAATATATTGAAAGCTCCGCAGTCTAATAAAACGGTTTGATATACTGATTTAGTTAAATATCACGATAAAGTATCATCTTACCGAATCATCTTACCGAAGAGTTTAAATTATATCATAATAAATTATCATCTTGCCGTGTAAGATTTTTGTTTTAAAATGTTTTTGTTTTTTTTATTGTAATATAGGACCGTAGTCGTCAGATGATTCTCCCATGGCCTCGCTATCTAAATAAACGTATTGATCACTTCATACCAATTTTTTTATTTAAAAAAAAAAAAACAAAAAAAAACCAAAAAAAACCACCCACCCCCCCCCCCCCCAAAAAAAAAACAAAAAAAACAACAACAAAACAAACCCAGTGATGTTCTTGTCATCTTTATTTATACCGTAAACACAACTTTAAAAAAATAATAATAAAACTATGCTGGTCTACATGAACACATCACCTACCACCCTACCATCCTACCATCCTATCACCCTACCATCCTATCATCCTACCATCCTACCATCCTACCATCCTATCATCCTACCATCCTATCATCCTATCATCCTACCATCCTACCACCCTACCATCCTACTATCCTATCACCCTACCATCCTACCAACCTGTCATCCTACCATTGTTAATCATATGTAATATATATTTTAGACCCATTAAAATATTTCTTTTACATTTTAAGGAATCCTGAACTGGGAGAAGACATTGTGAGTACACCTATCCCATCATTCACAAATCATTAGCATATCTTGTTGTTAAAGCAATAGTTTAACTTAGATTTAAATATCTGTCATTATTTCGAGGTCGACGATTTTCTCTAAAATGTCTACAAATCTAATCACATTTTAATCATAACAAAGTATCAGTAAGCTGATAAAGATTGTGTTACATTTTGAAAACAATAAACTTTTTTTTTTACCTCCACCTTAATGTCAAACATTTTTTAATAGTTAATAAAAATGTTATAATTTGATTAAAATAATTAAACCTGCTAGTTTTTTTAAAACACAACTTTTGGCGCTTTTTAAATGATATTTTCTAAATCTTCTTTTATCTCCCGATCTACAGGACAACAGGCGGCGCAAGAGTCACGACTCCAAGAGTCACAAAAAACACAAGAGCCGATCAAAGTCTCGATCTCGTTCGCGAGATCCGGACAGGGTCAGCAGACGCCACAGCAGCCACGACCAGACGCCCATACTGCCGATGGAGGGTGACATCATTCTGCAGACACCCAATGCCGACACGCAACAGTTCTCCCGGAAGAACTCCGAGGGGCGCCGCCACAGCGTGGACAGCAACAGCAACCCGGGGCGCCGCCGCCACAGCGGAGACATCAACAATAACCCACTGGGGACCTACTTCATCAACCCGATGATGAACGGCGTCCAGGGCGAGTACATTACTCCAGCTTACCCCAACGGCCGAAATGAAATAAACTTTGCCGCAGAGGGCGGCCAGTATTCCATCACAAATGTCAAAACTGTTGTGGGGCCCATCCACAAGTCCAACAGCCGCGGTTCCTTCGGGCAGACGATCCTCCAGGAGCGGGAAAGGACGATGAACTTCAGTGACGAGGACGCCGACGACGAGGAGCCAGAGTCTCATCTCGCTAACCGCAGTCCAAAACGAGGAGACGAGATTCCCTTTGTGCCGGGGCCCAACGTATTTTCCGAGAGAGTTTTCAGCTACTCCAGAAAACTGGATCTTGAGAGTCAAGTATCCACACCCAGAGAGGATTATCCGTTATCCTCACAAGTGCCCACGAAGAATTCAGACGCAGACGTGATTCCACAAGGAGGCATCGACGACATTATTGCGTTGGCCGACCCGGGACTGCAGTATAAAGAGACCCAGGAAGGAACAACTTCCTTCCATCGTCAAGACCCGACTCTGGGGCGCCCATCATCTCCACCCCAGATAGGGCGCCCCCCTTCACCCAATTTCTTTCACAGACCCCCGTCTCCGGTTGTCGCCACCAGGTCCCCTAGCCCCCCACGTGAGACGGCGCCCACACCGGCCAAAAAACCACCCGCCTCACCTTTCAACTTCAGACAGCCAACTTCTCAATTTTATAGCAGACCCCCAAGCCCCCCTAATGTTAACAGGCCCCCGAGTCCATTTTTCGACGAAAGACCCCCTACGCCGCCTTTCCAAACACCCACCCGCCGCACCTTTCCACTTCAGACAGCCAACTTCTCAATTTTATAGCAGACCCCCAAGCCCCCCTAATGTTAACAGGCCCCCGAGTCCATTTTTCGACGAAAGACCCCCTACGCCGCCTTTCGATGGCTCCATCGACAACCGTGAGGATTTGTTCCCGCCATCGAACACCATCATCAGGGAAACCAAATCTGTTGTCGAAACTACAACATATCGAGTGTCCACCCCTCCCCCTGATATGTCCTCCTCAGACGAGGATGATATGCCGAGGGGAAAACTCGGGGGCTCAATGAAACCTCCGACACCCCCACCGCTCCCCCATAAGTTCGGGAGTGTCAAGACCCGGGTGCCCACTCCCCCGCCGGGATTGATTAGCCATAAGGAAATTGACATTGATGACATTCTCAAGCTGGGTGACCCGCCCAGGTCCGATAACTTGAGGAAACCTCCGTTGACACACAGCCCGAGTCAGGAGCCGGGGTTGCCTTTCCTTGCGGAGATCAAGAAACGGTACAAATCATACGAGGAAGAGACCCACATCTCCTCGAAGCCGAGCCTCCACCAAAGCCACCCCAAGCCTTCATCTTCTCCCCTTGGGCTTTCCAAGCCACACAGTAACAACGCTGGCGACCTTGACGAGCAAGTGCCTCTGAGACGACCAGCCGTGCTACCCAAACGGCCGTCCACTGTCCAGTTCGCTGATGACCCCCCGGAGATCATACCGAGGGCTGACGACCCCGAGAGCCCCAGAGGACTAGAGCCTCCCCCACACTCATTTTCTGGAAGTGCGCCACCTCCACCACCCCCACCGCCACCCCCGCCTCCCCCTCCGATGCTGAGATAAAAGGAAGAGCTTGTCTTTCGGTGCCTATGTTTACGATTTCATTAGCTTTTCATGTCATGTCAGGGACACGCCTCACTGACACGGTAGTTAATTTAAGAGGCTCAATACAAAGTAACGAAAGAATGAAACTGTTCTGTTAGAAACGTGTCCTTAAGAAAGAAACTGTTCTGTTAGAAACGTGTCTTTAAGAATGAAACTGTTCTGTTAGAAACGTGTCTTTAAGAATGAAACTGTTCTGTTAGAAACGTGTCTTTAAGTATGAAACTGTTTTGTTAGAAACGTGTCTTTAAGTATGAAACTGATCTGTTAGAAACGTGTCTTTAAGAATGAAACTGTTCTGTTAGAAACGTGTCTTTAAGAATGAAACTGTTCTGTTAGAAACGTGTCTTTAAGTATGAAACTGATCTGTTAGAAACGTGTCTTTAAGTATGAAACTGATCTGTTAGAAACGTGTCTTTAAGAATGAAACTGTTCTGTTAGAAACGTGTCTTTAAGAATGAAACTGTTCTGTTAGAAACGTGTCTTTAAGAATGAAACTGCTCTGTTAGAAACGTGTCTTTAAGAATGAAACTGTTCTGTTAGAAACGTGTCTTTAAGAATGAAACTGATCTGTTAGAAACGTGTCTTTAAGAATGAAACTGTTCTGTTAGAAAAGTGTCTTTAAGTACGAAACTGATCTGTTAGAAACGTGTCTAAAGACTCAAATAATATTTAACAAATGCATATTCCAGTGCACAGGAGAGATTTACCTTTTTTTCAAATGTTCAAATAAATTATTGATTGTAAATTGAATGTCCAGAACTTTTTTTATCTTAGTTATAAACAATGACCCCTAGTGATGATGTCAAATTTGCAATGATGACATGCTTTTCGCTTAGAATCCCCACAGATGATGTCTCTTTTCTCAAGTCCTTTCAACTCAGTGGTTATTTGGGACAGAAGTGAATACATCCACCGGGGCGTGATCTCTGCATATACAATGTGGGTCCAAGCTTTCCTCAATGATGTGTGTGGGGCTACTGGAAACATTTATGGCGGTTCTCAGACGAATATTGTCATTTAAAGTTCCAATGGTTTTCGGGTGTTTGCTTAAACGTGAGAGTAAATGATGGGCGCAAATCTACGCAACAATTTAAGTTTTTTTTTTTTTTTAATTTTAAATTGCGAACGGTTTGCCAGAGGCAGGTGTGTAAATGGCGGTGGTAAATTGGCAAATGTGTGTTTTGGGTAGTCTGTTTAGATTTATGACGGTGCTTCGTCATCATTTGAAACACTGGGGAAAATCAGACATTAAGACTTTTATTAAAATTAAAGGGTAATTTGACAGACCAGCCACGAGGAATGCACGTGTGTATAACTCCTTTAGTTGTGTATTATATATATCTAAAGAGTTGTTTTAATACCATGCATGTTTTTTGAGAGTGTCAATTGAGAGTGCCAATTGCTTATGATATCACTGATCCTATCACTTATCCTATCACTTATCCTATAATTTATTTGTGTTCCTATTATTTGTTAAACCAGAAATTGTAATGTTATTCATATATCCTATACATATTTTAAAATCAAACTTATACCAACTTTAAAAAAAAAAAAAAGATTTTTTATTTTAAATTAAGCTCACTTAAGACCATATTGTTTTTCCTGGCCAATGCATCACATACACATGTTAAATATAAAATATTG